TTGATTTCTTGAAATGTTCTAGCTTCAAGATGTCGGGATTACCGGTGTGAATTTTGATCCCTGCTGCAACTCTCATGATATTTGTTATGACACATGTGGAACTGACAAGGATATCTGTGATCTGGAGTTCAAGAAATGTTTGTACAAACAGTGCAAGTCTCCGCACCTTCATTACAACATACTTGAAGTCAAGAGTAAGCATCTGTGTAATTAGTGAGGCCCCAAGATGCGGATATTTGTTACTCGGAAATTTCTTATGTTGGGATGTCCGCATGTTGGATCACGATTTCCCGTAGACAACATGGGAGCATATTTAATTGGTTCTCCTATTGATCAAAAATGAAGAAGAAAGACCCCAAAAGTGGAAGAAATGTTTTTCCTCAACTTCCAAGATACAGAAAAAAACTGTGCGAAAGAAAATCACAGGGAATCTGATCTTTTGGCATGAAAAGGAGCAGAAAAAGTAAATCTATCTGAACTGTGCGCAGATGATGGAAAAAACTCACAGAATTGGCCTGTTTTGGATTATGAATTAGAGTTCATTTCTGTGAATTTGTTGAATATAGAATTTTTTGAATATAGAAAGCTTAATTCTTTTAGATATTGAGATTTTGAAAAATAAATTTTCCATTCTCTATAAATGTTGGCAGTGTCCATATCTTGAGACATTGTACTGATATCAGAGCAGATTTTTACACTTTCGGGCTCAGTTTAGCAGGCATACAACCCGGGTTAACATAATAAAATGGCCATATAAGGACGACAAAAGACTGGAAACAAAGAAAAAGCTAAAAAACAAAAGAAACGGATCGGCTTTTTTCACGACTCGCTCAGTCTGAGTATTTTAAATACTGTACTGTGTCTTATACGTTGTAATCCCTGACAACTCTTTTACTTTAGAAACATACATTTTCTCATTTTATTTCGTGAACTGATGGGGAAAAGCGATGCAAAGCTGCCACAGAAATCATTTTGTGAAAGTGCAGTATCTTGAGTATTTCTTTCAATCTTCGCGTCATCCATTATCTTTTCTTACTGAAATTTTTTTTTGCTTTTGTCTTGACTGGAAAATAGAGTGTAAAGCCGCTGCCAAGGTGATGTACACGAGCATAGTCGCCGTCGGATGCCGCGCATTTTTGGATTCACAACGATCGGCGTGTCTCTGCGTGAAAATTGACCCGAGGGACGAGCTGTGAATCAAATTTATTGATGGGATGATGCTGTGATCAAAATGGTGGCGAAATCTATTCGTTACACTGTAAGCTGAAATGTTCAGCTTTGGGTCAGTTTTGTTCTTTTTTTGTCTGAGGGATTTGAAAGGCTTTTGAGTTTTGTAGATGAGATGATGTTTGGATTTGTTTACCGTGTTTATTGGAAAATAAAATGTCACCGGCGATGAGACGCGTCTGTTCATCTTGTGTCTCGTAACTTGCATCACGCTTTTTCATGCGAATGTAATCGACATTATCGTTGTAGTTAATATTTTCAGAATTGATAATACTCCTACTTCTTATTCTAGGCTGATCTCTTGGAAAAACCCGAATATAAATCAGTAAATTTAACACTTGTGTTCTCGAGTCGAAAAGGAGATTTTTCCAGTTATTTTTAATAGGCAATTTTACAATCGATTGCCTATAGAAAAAATTGCGGTTTTCCAACGCAGTAAATGATTTTCCCTTGAACGCTTAAAAGTAATAAATATGAGAAGGAATTTAATTATTTTGCCACATTTTGCTAAATGAGTGCATTCATATTCTATTTCTTTGAATAATTTTGGTTATTCTGTTCCGAAATCGGAGCTGTGAATCTGTGATGTTTTCTTCTATCTTGCAGGTGTTGTGCATTCTTATTTGTGACGGCGATTTTCGTTGGTTTCTAAGTTTCGATTCTTCGAGTGCATTTAATTCGCTATTGACAAATTTTTGTAGCATAAGCTCGACAATGTTGGTGAGTGTCAATCATTTTCGGGAAGCGCGAAAAATATTGATAGGTTACTGAGCACAAGTTGCATTCACTGGGAATCATTGAACTTATCATTTGGTCGAAGATTGATCGATGCACATTCTGCCTGTGCATCTTGTTCGAAGTTCCCTTATTTATTCGGGTACTGCGCGAGGCCTTCGAGTATATGTAGTGCCTGCATTTTCAATACGACATCGAGACAATTTCTCCTGAGGAGCTAACAATAAGTATAAGACACAACTAGTGAAATAGAACAGTTAAAAGCACTCGCTTCCAAGCAAAACATGAGGCCCTTAGAAACGCTAACGACAGAAAACAACACGCACCGAAGATTTCCGGCAATTTCCGTTGTCTAGAATGTCTCTGGAGCGTGGTTTATTTTAGTAACCCCCTTGAAATAATTATCGTATTTTCTTCAATGAGACACGCACCCGGATTTTTCAACCTAAAATTTGATAGAATCCCATCCCCGAGTAAAATTCGCACCCCATTTTCAATGACTGACAAAACACAGTACTAAATTTAAAAATGTATAGACAGCAGAAATCAAATTTTAACATGAATCAAACTGAATAAAATCATTTTTCAATTTAAAAAGTTCCTGTCGTGAATTTCCAATTATATTCACGCCCGGAAAACACCTGAACTTTTTTTTTTTTTTACATTTTATCCCTGTCTATGACGCGCAACACCCTTTTTTCTTCTCAATTTTGAGAAAAAATGTGTGCGTGGTACTCAAGTAAAAACAGTTTTGTCAATTAGGAAACTAATCGTGGTTTTTTTACTTTGGAATTTCAGTATTTTTGCCTTTATATGCCTAATCCCCTACGCGTTCTTCATTAATTAATCTGCGGCCTATAAACGTGGGATACTTCAATATTCGCCGTTATTTTCGCAAGTGAGACTTATGGTAGAATAAATGCGTTACAGTATTTTCCATGTTCGTTATCCGCCTCATATTTGGAGTGGAAGGAAGTGTGGTGTGTTGGGGCCTTGGGGGTTGGCGGGAATGAAAGGAGGAGGGAGAAACCCCGTGAGGATGGGATCCCGACTTGGGTTCCGTTGGGTTCGTTTCCATGTCAGTCTGCCCTGAGCAGCGATAGGGTCCTGAGGTCCGTGTGTGTGTGTGTGTCCGAAAGGACGCAAATCAATAAAGCGAGTCTGATAACGAATAAATTGTGGGAGTTGAATATTTCTTTTTGCGAATGATTCATGCGGTGGGAAAATAATTTCCGAATGGAGTTTGACTACGTGTGAATACAGTTTTTTACAACGGGTTTCTGATTGTGGCGCGAAATTCGAGAAAAAAATTGACGAGCTTTTCTGAATTACACTATTTTGATTGAAGAGTTACAAGATTTCTGATAAACCATGTCAGGATTTAAAAGGATAAGATTTGGAAGGTGACACAGAATTTTCGTCACAATTAAGTGTAAGTAGTGAGCTTTTACACTAAAAGATGCTGTGAACCAATCTGACTCCAAAAGACCTTATTTTCTGGAACATCAATGATGTAAATCACTCACAGAAGGATAGTGTAAATGCTGATATACATAATTTCGGGTGAATTCGTGTCTTATCATCCATGGGAGCAGAATCGGAAATACTGTAAATGCGTGAAATTCAGGGGAAAAAATAATCAGGAAATTCATGTTGACAATCTGATCAACTGATCTGCCGAACGTTTGCCCATTTTAAAATATTTTTAATGAATTTTTGAACAGCATTTTACTGTCGAAATGGGATCAAGGTTTTCAGGAGCAATAATAAGCTCCTTCCTTGAGACCAAACAAACGCCTCGAATTTCCCGAATTCCCAGATGGTCGTGCTCCGTATTTTTTCGATGTCAAACATAATGAAGATACATTTGATAAAAGATTCGCTGACCTTTTCTGAGGCAGAATATTATTATTTATGGACCAGTACAGTTTTCATGAATATTACTTTAGCTGACAATGAAAAACTCTTTGGAACTGACACCTTCAGTTGCTGGATGAAAAGAACGTATTTTGCGTTGTTTTTGACATTTTTCTCGTTTAATTAAATTTTTTCTTCTTCTTTGTTTAGGCTTCAGCGGTGAAAGTGATTGTTTCTTTTGAGTGAAAAAACCAAACCGAAGTTTTCAACCTTTTTCGCAATGGAGGCAGTGAGTATTTACTTTCAAATCATTTATTTTATTTTATTTTTAGTTCACAATTCAACGAATCTCATAACGAGTTAATTTTTGAAACGAATTTTTTTTTCTTGGTCCCTCAACGTTATTTTAATTTTTCTAAGGGATTTTCGGCTATAACGAAGTTTTTTTAAGGTCCCGAACGCTTCGTTGAAACGAGATTCTACTCTTATACAGTTTTTTGTGCTTCGCTGTTTTTCCTATTAATATTTTGGCACTCTTCGTGCTTTCTCGTAAAATCGGAAAATTAAGCTTGATGCGATGGGCGTGCTTCCGTCGTGTTGAATTTTTCATTCAAGAAGCCGTTTCCTTACTTTTCTTAATAATTGAAAGGTTTTTCCAATCGTTTTCTGAGCAGGAGTGCGGTTTTCCTGTCTCGATCGTGACAGTGAGGTACTTTACCTGGAAATTGGACTGTATTCAGCGGCCGATGAATTATTTTCAGCACTCGTTTTGCATAATTTAAAGGCAGTCTCTCAAATTCAAGTAGAAAATTAGTAGTTTGCTTATTTTGGGGAACGAGTTTTTGGTTCATTTATTGGTTGGTTGCATTTCTCGTTTTATGATGAAATTTTGTTCAAATCTTCATGATGCACTAGCTGATCAAAGACAAAATGTTTTTTTTTTCNTCCTGAGGTCCGTGTGTGTGTGTGTGTCCGAAAGGACGCAAATCAATAAAGCGAGTCTGATAACGAATAAATTGTGGGAGTTGAATACTTCTTTTTGCGAATGATTCATGCGGTGGGAAAATAATTTCCGAATGGAGTTTGACTACGTGTGAATACAGTTTTTTACAACGGGTTTCTGATTGTGGCGCGAAATTCGAGAAAAAAATTGACGAGCTTTTCTGAATTACACTATTTTGATTGAAGAGTTACAAGATTTCTGAATTTGGTACAGTCCTAAATTTTCCTATTCTAAACCTTCCACTGTGTCTTAAAAGCAGTGTTAATTCACATTCATCACTCGAAAATGTGATTTTCTACGACACTTGGTTAGACTGAGGTTTTCTGGAATTTATCTGGAACATCAATGATTTAATCACTCAGATGGATAGTGTATAAATGCTGATTTCCATAATTTCTGGTGAATTCGTTTCTATCATCATCCATGGGAGCAGAATCGGAAATGCTGTAAATGCGTGAAATTCAAGGAAAAAAGGGTCAGGAAATTTATTTTGACAATCTGATCAACTGATCTGCCTAACGTCTGCCCGTTTTAAACTATTTTTAGTGAATTTTTGAACAGCACTTTACTGTCAAAATGGGACCAAGGTTTTCAGGAGCAATAAGCTCCTTCCTTGAGACCAAACAAACGCCTTGAATTTCAAGAACTCCTAGATGGTCGTGCTACGTATTTTTTCAATGTCAAACATGCTGAAGATACATTTGATGAAAGATTCGCTGACCTTTTCTGAGGCAGAATATTATTATTTATGGACAAGTACAGTTTTCATGAATACCGGTATTACTGTAGCTGACAATGAAAACTTTTTGGAACTGACACCTTCAGTTGCTAGATGAAAAGAACGTATTTTGCGTTGTTTTTGACATTTTTCTCGTTTAATTAATTTTTTTCTTCTTTGTTTAGGCTTCAGCGGTGAAAGTGATTGTTTCTTTTAAGTGAAAAACCAAACCGAAGTTTTCAACCTTTTTCGCAATGGAGGCAGTGAGTATTTACTTTCAAATCATTTTTTATTTTATTTTTAGTTCACAATTCAACGAATCTCATGATGACGAGTTGATTTTTGCGACGGATTTGTTTTTCTTGGTCCCTCAACGTTATTAGCCTCAACGTTATTTTAATTTTTCTAAGGGATTTTTGGCTATAACGAAGTTTTTTTCAGGTCCCGAACGGTTCGTTGAAACGAAATTCTACTCTTATACAGTTTTTTGTGCTATGCTGATTTTCCTATTAATATTTCACACTCTTCGTGCTTTCTCGTAAAATCGGAAAATTCAGCTTGATGCGATGGGCGTGCTTCCGTCGTGTTGAATTTTTCATTTAAGAAGCCGTTTCCTTACTTTTCTTAATAATTGAAAGGTTTTTCCAATCGTTTTCTGAGCAGGAGTGCGGTTTTCCTGTCTCGATCGTGACAGTGAGGTACTTTACCTGGAAATTGGACTGTATTCAGCGGCCGATGAATTATTTTCAGCACTCGTTTTGCATAATTTAAAGGCAGTCTCTCAAATTCAAGTAGAAAATTAGTAGTTTGCTTATTTTGGGGAACGAGTTTTTGGTTCATTTATTGGTTGGTTGCATTTCTCGTTTTATGATGAAATTTTGTTCAAATCTTCATGATGCACTAGCTGATCAAAGACAAAATGTTTTTTTTTTCGTTCTCATTTTTAACCGCATTAAATCAAGGCGAGTCTTTGATTCGTCAACTCTTTGGTTTTTCTGAGGTGGTCTGAAAATGTGTTTCCATTGTATTATTAGAATGCTTATGAAATTAACTACTTTCTTGGAGTAAGAAATGAGATGAAAGCATGATAAAAAAAAACTGATGACGCGGATTCCAAAATAGTAGAAAGAATGTAAATGTTTTTTCTGGCTGTAAAATATAATTTCAATGAAAAGACAACAAGGTAGACCTTTTTTTGCGACTTCGTCATTCCGATGAGGAAATTTTCTAATGCAAATTTTGATGTTTTGAATCCAGTTTTTGGCAAACATATTTTGAGACAAGCGGGGCAGTATCTGGAAACAATCAACGACTGATGAATGGTTTCCTCTCGTATTATTTAAATGCGTAAATCTAATTCAATTCAAGCGAGGCTTGGTTCTGAGATTTTCCGGTTTTCCTTTTTGGCAGATGTCGAATTTGCAACAGCAGAGGCTGATCACGGAGCAGCTGCGAAGGGAAGCGAACCTCAAGCGGATTTCCATTTCCCAAGCCGTGGAAGACATTAAGGTGAGCGTCGCTTTCTTACCCCCGTGTTTTGTCAATGTCTGAGAAGATTTGCGCCGGAAATTATTCTACGTAATCCCCCCCCCCCCCCCNAACCCCCCCCCCCCCCCCCCCCCCCCCCCCCCCCCCCCCCCCACCCCCCCCCCCCCCCCCCCCCCCGTGAGTATAAAAAAAAAGAAATAATGCGGAAGTTTGATTTTCCGAGGAAATCCCGAGAATTTGGGGAACGGCGTCTTTACGCGAAAAATATGCTGCACTTCAATTTTGGGATTGTAATTTCAGACAATGAACGGCATGGGGTCAAAAAATTGAAAAATTTTGCGGTAAGAAATTGCGGCGTGTGAAAAGTGATTGGATTTGATTCGTAAACTTTTCGAAAACGAGTTCCCAGTCAGAAATGTATGTATTCTGAATTTAATTAAATCGAGTGCTGCTTCATCTCACTACCAGAGGCATTTTGCTGCACTTCTGGTGATTGGATGTGAATGCCGATGCGCGAACAGGATGCACACATTTACTTTTGTCAAAGGAAGCGATAAGCATTATTTTTTTTTACGGGGAAATCTTGTGGAACTCGGAAGGAAGACTGGGGAAATTTGAAGGGAAATCTACTGAAACTAGTTGAATTCGACCCTCTTGTCAATTAAAGAAAAATTCATTTTAAAGAATGGTGTGGAGTTCACTTGATGAATTATTACCATTTTTTTTTCGATCTGCCACATCGTATCGAATTGAAGACTAACTGAATTAAATATCGTTTGATTGTTTTCAAATACCTGTACTTAGGCTTCAAAGCGCGAATTCTCATTGCAAGGAACTTCAGGTTATCCTAGAAAATGCCCGCATAAAAAGATGTGCTTTTTAACAAGATTATTAATAACAAATGGGACATTTTTCAGGAATTGGACCACTGTCAAACCCGATAACAGTTTACTAGCAGAATACAGTAATGAAAAGCTAAATTTTTGTCACGCCGGGAACAACTGCATTTCGCAATTGGAAAAAAAACTATTCTTACAGATTTCTTTTTCGAAGTACAGTACAGTACTGAAATAAGATTTAATTTTTTGAAGCTGCGGCAAAAAGTAAATTTTGATTCAGAATTTTTTCCCAGAAAGACTGGAAAAATGTTGTGGCAAAATCTTTAATATTGAAAAAAATGTTTGGGGAAACTGTCAAAAATCACGAAATTCTACTCGTAATTACATTTATGGCATTGAGTCTATGGATTTTCTGGTGGAATCTCTGAAAGGTTTCCTTGGAAGAAAAAAAATTCACGTAACAGACCTTTTCTTTCATTTGGTGTTATCAGTACCTGTACTGAAATTCGAGAAGCAAAAATCACGAGGGAGAAAAAGTTGCAACATGCGCATTTTTGTTGTAAGTTTGAAACGGGCAGAAACCGGAGACATCATTGCAAATATTCACTGTACTGGGGTTTCCCTAAAAATAAATTTTTTTTTTTTGTCGAGGAAGAATTACCTTACCACGAAACTACCTGAAGTCAAGTGAATACAGTAGTAGGAGTTACTATCCGTAAATATCAAGTCAAGAGGGTAAAAGGGACACGAAATGGGGGGTTGAATGGGAATAAGGGTAAATCTGGTCGTGGGATTGCTCCTGACGGCGTACGGAAGATCAACCAGGAGAAAACGGCACAAGAGATTTAAGCCGGCTTAAGCTGTCGGGGAATGTTGACCACCACAATGGGGGCCAGCTACCCTCAGAGTTACCAACTTCTTTCCTGCTGATTTTTAAATAAATATTAATGGTGAACTTCTGCTGCACTCCCAGCCTCAACATTATAACAGTAGTGTTTTCCACCCCCCCCCCCCCCCC